GCTGGAATATCCGAGGCTGGAAGGGACCGTCGGATTCAGAAGTATGAACAACTGTCAGTTTTGTCATTTATGGGCCGGATAGTTCTGACAGGCATCCGAGGAGCCCTGATTTTTTTTAGCTAATGCGCGTGTTCTGGGTGAGAATGTAAGTACCAATGGTCAGGAGATCAGACCTTTGCATACGTAGTAATGCAGATACAAGCAGAACTGGTGTCAGTATTTTGGACCGCGACGACAATTCTCAAAAGGCAAAAAAACAGATGTTCGTCTCATCTGGGCCTATCGTTCTGGGCTCCGGTTGTTAGAAAATCACAAGCCTGAGATTCTGCAAGATTTTGCCCCATCTTAACAAAACTAACAAGCAGAAGTCTGGACATACGCTACTACAGCTTGGCTCTAATGATGCATCTGCTCAATGATCGGTTTCGATAGAGGAGAAAATATTCTGACCGAACGCCTGGTCATATTCTTACATGTTGGCGCGCCTTTAACGAAAAAAACAGACAAGGGCTGTAATAAATACAACAGCAATTATAAACCGTTGATAGGCAGTTAGTTATGAGCACTATTTGCGGGATAGCGATTGTCGAAACAATTTTTAATTGAAGTTAAGTACTTACTTCTAAATAGCCCTGTGCCCATTCTTAGTTTGAAAGATCAATTTCAGATGTGAGACCGGAAATGCAAGCGAATAAGAGTCCATCTTCTAATATTGAGTATAATTTTACACAGGCACTCCTAATTGCAGCAGCTGGGTCGAATAAACCCTCCAACGAGGAGTAGCATCTCGAACCAATGGATACCCAAGCTACTTCATCAAGCAAAGCAAGCGCCGAGGGAATAAACGACGGCCACAAGAAGAACAACCCGAAGTCTGGAGGGCTATTCCTTACATCAAAGGAGTCTCCGAGGCGGTTTCACGACTGCTATAACCCGCCAGGGTAGGCATTGCCCATCGACCCCAGGCAACAATTCGTCGCCGTTTGTTGCAACCCAAAGACATACTGCCACCCAGTGAAACCTGAGCAGTTGTCTATCAGACACATTTTAACGATTGAGACTGCAGCTACGTTGGGGAAACCGGACGAAAATTGCACACCGCCTACACGAGCACAAACTGGCAACTCGGAGACTAGAGCCAAACTCACAGATTGGGGCTCACTTCGGGGAAAGTGGTCACAGTTTTGATTTTCCAGGAACAGCCCTCTTAGGCAGGGGCACCGCGAGGACAGAACGTCTCACAGTTGAGGCTTAGTAGCATCTGTGACAGACAGTTTATTGTCTCACTAACATCACAAGGTATCTGTACGCATGCCACAGTGATCAGGTCCTCTTAAGGCAGACGGGCTAAACTAGACGATAATAGCCGAGTCGTCATAAAAGTCAGGACAACACTGACATGTCCGCTGTAGTACCCGGAGTCAGCGCCAATAAACCAGTCCAGTTAGATTAAAAATCGACCCTCTGGCAAATATGACCATTCGACAGCATCACATTCAGGTGAATCACACGCCAGATTACAATAAATGCTGAGGCTACCCATGACAGTCTTCAGTCGTTGTCACCGCCTGTACGAATGAATTCAGGTTTCCGGAGGCTGAGAGAGCACAGTCAGTTTCGCGCATAATGTCGCGATCTGGAACAAAGCAGACGTCGGCACACCCCACTTAATCGAATAGTCCTCTTTTAAATCAACAGTGGTCATGCTTAAATCAAGGAGAAGGCATGCAGTGGGCATTTCAAACTATATCCATAACAGACGAGTCAACCAATGTAACGCACTCAACGGCTGACCACCACAGCAGTCGAAGACATACAAAAAGTCTGTTATATGTAGGGTGGCGCGTTCTATTTCCACGGGCGTTGGAAGTATCATGGAATCGGAGAGCAGAGGGATTTCCGTGATGCAGCAGTTCGAAAACTAACGACAGCTACTATCCCGGACGGGGATGAGCACTGGCTCAAAGGATTCCGATTCGAAAACGAAAGAATAGAAATCTCCTTTTCGGACAGTTAAGGTAGGGGACGTCCGAATGACCGTTTAGACAGCTCACTCCTGCTTGTTATGTGACTTCCTAGATGGCACTGACGAGACACCAACAACATCCATGTGCCCTCGTCACCTAGCCGTCGTCAGTGTCTGTAACACCTTAACGTGGCCAACGGGAATTAACTCAAAGCAAAAAGTAAGTTAACGTCAACAGCACTGTGATAACAGCAGATCTTCTGCGTTTTCGTTTCAAAAAGCTTGATTAAATAGGGTTGTAAAACTAGTCATCGTGCAGCATAATTCTATAATAATTCAGTTGCCTCCGGATATCGGCTTTCGAAGTAACTTCTTTCCGGCTACATGCCAAAATTATGCTCTGTGAAAAATGACAACTTCAGTAGCATGTATTTTTCTCATGGAGTTTCGCTGCCCTTAAATATCCAGTTATATTTCGCGAAAAATATGCATAACAATGTTTATTCTTTTGCTCATTCGGTAGAAAATTATGTCTTCTTCCAATTTTATACTCGGAGGGAGGGTATCATTCGGTTTTCAAAAGATTTATAATTGTGAGATTTTTCAATATCGTGAAGTGGCCATTCATGAAACGTCATATCTCTACATTTACCAATGTGGCTTGTAAAGTTAACAATATGGCTCAAATCCACTGCGAAATTTTATGAACCCCATGCGGTCTCTTCTTAATACCGTAGAGAGATGTATGGTTTTCCGTACGCGGTAAATATGCGGCATGTTGTCTTGAAACCCCGAATGCAAACCTAACGGCAGGTCGGGGTTCAAAATTATTCGGGAATCGGATAAGTTTTTGAAAACCGAATTAAACGCTTTCTTCGAGTATAGGATTGGAAGAGAACATACTTTTCTACCAAATGAGCAAAAAATAAACATTTTTATGCATATTTTCCATGAAATATAATCAAATTTTTAAGGGCATAGAAAATCAATGAGAAACAATCATGCCACTGAAGTAGTCGTTTTTGACAGAATATATTTTTACATGTAGCCGGAAAAAAGTTCATTAGAAAGCGGGCATTCTGAGGCAACTGAATTATTATAGAATTATGCTGAATGAACATTAGTTTTACAACCCTACTTAATTAGTCTTTTCGAACCGAAAACGCATTTCGGAATTTAGACTGACATTTCATAAGTTAACCCACCTACTGTATGTTAAAGCCCTTAGGAAAACGGAGTTCTGGCGGATAAAATTAAGTCTACGAATCCCTCTGATTTTGGAGCTTTCCGCATCATCCTTTTGACATATAAAGGCGTATCCTGAAACTGCAAGTAAGTCATGAGCGCCCCATTCTTCAGACGAAAGGGCAATGGAGTGGAATAAGGTAGTTGGCAATCCCTTCTTTGGTTGGAGTAATTTTCAACCGTTTTATCGTAGGAGAACCTACTTGAGGCATGTTTTGATGACACCGTGGTCTTCCCCGTCTCTTAGACCCGGCAGAAGCGCTCAGAGCATAATTTGGTTGCATCTGTTGTCTTCATGAACCCAAACAAAGGTTTTCGATCCGCTCGGAAAATTAACATTAACCTTATAAAAGATGCATAGACTACACAACCATCAACAGTTCCTGCCTGTCCCACAGCAATATGTATGGATTTTGTCCTTAAATCGGCGTGATTAGAAAGATTTTTCAAGCCCTTACGGGAAAAAACCACGCATAATGTTTTAGTTTGCACACTGACATTTCATTGACACTCTGGTCTTCCACATGTATTATGGCTAAGATGAAGGCGTAGAACTGTGTTTTTTCATGTCAGGCCAAAAGCGGTTGAGGAAAGCGTACTCACTACGACGTCCCTATCCCAGGGTCCCATCGGCAGATCATCTTCAATAAGGTTGCAGAAGTCCTCTAGTCCCCTCATTTTCACCATCACTATTGGTGGAAAAAGTTCACTTTCAACCTTCTTCGTCCCTGCGGAAATTCTCTCATGCATATCTGCTGTGGCAGACGAGTTGCTATCACTCAGCTGAAGGTGCCGAACAGGCAGAAGCTTGTGTCGAGGTGTCCTTCTTCATAACGATTCAAATCATTCCTCGCCATTATACATATGATGCACTTGAACTTATCACAACTCGTTCAAAGATTTGTCTGGAAAGACTGCCGGGTGTATGGATGACCCTGTCCCCCTTGGAACGAGGGCAAGACTGCAATGGTCCTTCATACTATGGCGCAGACGGCACCTTTGAAGTCTGTGAGATCCGGGCCCGTGCTTTTTTACGTCTTAGACGCTGACTTTGCGTCAGGTCAGCCATCGGTTCTAATTTCATTCGCACTTTGGCTTTACTCGACAGACTGCTGGAATATGTGCGAAGGAAGAGAGTGTGAGAGGGCGGGGGAGAGCGAGGGAAGGGTTGATCGAGTCGGGACTCCATGTCCAACTTCATCACCATCAGCAAGCAAAATGTGTCTTGGATCTATTACAACGCGCCGCCAGTCAACTGACGGTATAACTTGTCTGGCGCATCTTCGAGGTTCACGCCGCAACAACTTGCTATTGTGGCCTTCATGGCACCCTTGCCCCTGTGACACCCTACATACCTCGGACGAAGCTTGACGCATGTGTGGTTAGGGTTCAGGTCGCCTATCGACCTTCTAGATGGACTTTGGCCTTGTCGGCCACTGAACCCACGCTCAGCCCCTGTCGTTCTGACCGTGAATGGCCTATGTAACTCGCAATGTAATATCCTATAATAGTTCCACGTACACTGAAATCATCATGACAACTTCCCGCATGCGATCACGTATGTTGGACTTCGGACAAGTTTCAACATCGCAAAAAACCAAATTTGCAAAACTGTCTTTCTACCTAAGTGGTTTGAAATATGAACTAGGTAAATAGTCAGCACCATTTATCCTAGGAGTTTTTAAATCCAGATGATACCTGCCTGGGTCAGAATCCTAGAAGATCTGGGCATCGATGATACGCCCCATATAGCTCAATCCTACTAATAATATTACTTTTATTTATGGTGTCAGTAGTAGTAGTAGTAGTAGTAGTAGTAGTAGTAGTAGTAGTAGTAGTAGTAGAGGTAGTAGAGGTAGTAGTAGTAGTAGTAGTAGTAGTAGTAGTAGTAGTAGTAGTAGTAGTAGTAGTAGTAGTAGTAGTAGTAGTAGTAGTAGTAGTAGTAGTAGTAGTAGTAGTAGTAGTAGTAGTAGTAGTAGTAGTAGTGGACGAATAATCTTTCTGTCTCCAGCTTCTTGTCAGTGACCTCTCACCGACTTTGGAATCAAATGGACTCGAGGACGATGGCTTTTGTCTATCCGGCCAGTCAGCAGAACATTAGATGGGGGGATTAGACCGTGGATGCCAGGACGCCATTAATGATGTTCTCAACCTTTTTGACTGACCACACGCCATCGCCCAACAGTAATTCTCCCCACGCCATTTGTCTGGCCTCCTAGACTCTCTGCACTTACAGCCTCATTTCGCGTGCCATCACTTTCAGCAGTCGACGCAAGAAAAGAGGAGAAGTTTGGCAGGACGCTGATGCATCAACAGTCTGTTTAAACGTCACTGCACCGGGACAGACGCCCGAAGGCTTTCAAGAAGCGCGCGCATTATCTGCGCCACAAAAATGCTGACTTCACCTCGTCTCCCGAGGGCGCCTCAGAAAAGGTTAGCTTAATCACCTCATCGCCTGAGAGTGCGGAAAAGGGGTCTTTTCAGTAAACATAGCATATCACGTCCTTGAGGTGACATCCCAAAACCGACAAACCGGAAAATGGATGTTAGACCGCATAATTGCTCTTTAGGAGACGTGGGGGAGGCGTGCGAATAGGGAATTAAATGGACTTAGGAAGCATCAGTAGGTAAATATAAAAAAATTCTCAACTTTCATGAAAACGATGGAAAACCTTCGAGAAGACGCTTCTTAAACGTGCGTTTTCTCGTCATTCGTGAGACTTGATATAGGTCTCGAATGTTCTTCCCATATCGCCGAGTCAAGCCGGTTGATGGCAGCATGGTATTGTCAGCAGGATACTGAGTCCGAGCAAACATACTTTTTTGCTTCTGGAGGTTGATTAATTAATATATAAGAAGAGGCGTTACAAGTAGCAGAAGAAGAATAAATAAAAGGAAAGAGAAATAACAGCGAAGAAGAATACACGACTTTTAGTCGAGTATACCTGTTGGCCTGAAAGGACAAACTGGGGTTCGAGTTTGCCATCTGATAATGAGGAAGTGGCAACTTTATCTACTGTTAATGAAGTTGCTGTCCGAATCCCCAGTTTGAGACCTGTCTTCGTCGCGGTTGACGACGTGGTGTTTGGGATACTGGTGGAAGGCCAACCACGACATTATCGGGGTTATCAATAAAATGCTGAGCTGTCTATAGTTCCAATAATTGTTGCAATGCTCCGGGAAAGATAAACACAAAACACAGGTCGTAAATGTGTGCCGCTTTGAACAGCATAGAACCGGATGCGGAATTACATGACGTCCAGTAATTTGACGTCGTATTCGTTACCGATGTAGACGTCAAATTAATGTTATCCAAACGACTTCAAACCCTCAATGTTTTGGCAGTCAATTGTAATTTTCTGAGTTTTGGCGGAAGTTTCACGGATTTAAGCAGTAAAAAGCCTCGAATGATCATTTCACACCAATTCGACGACAGTGAAGCGAAAAGTTAAATTTCTGCTCAATGTCTTGGTTCAGTATGACTGCACTTCATGACTATTTTATGAGCAAAAGTGGTCACCCGATTCCTTATTTTTATGGCACTATGACCTTTGGCAATTGTACTAAAACGAGTACTTTAAACATGAAAGTAGTGGTGCTTTAGAAGATGTATTTGCAGCATTTCAGACAGTACCCCTTCGAGTTGAATGCCCAACAGCAAACGCAATGGGTCGTAATAGCCAGCCGGTCAAGAACACGGAATCTTCCCAATACACCGTCTAAAACGTTCTCTGTCAAGCGCAGTTGTAGCCCAAAAAATCCCGAGTACTAAACGTTTCTACGACAGAGTTCACCGAAATAACTGGCTAGCCTTATTACTATAAGCACTTGGGGCAAATGAACAGCATATTGAAGGAACTTTTTGAAGAGTTACCTTCAGTTTCTCGCTGTTTACTTCGTAGCCATCCAATCAGCCACATAATAAACGAGTAAAACAACTAACTCCTACCACGGTCCCGCTCGAAAAAAATGTTCGAACCCGATAACGTTGATAGACATGACTGGCTCAACCACCCATGGAATCAGGCATGAACTGTGAAGACCAGTCAAGGAGTCTATCTCAGTCTGACTAAACTGCTGGCGAAACCCTAGGTACGATTATTACGGAAGGGAAAAACTTCGTAGAATGTAAAGAAACACCGAGAACGCAGAAGCGAATAATTAATCTCTGATTAGGGTTTTATGAATTTACAAATCTCTGAGATGCTCTCTCCTCTGTCGCTTCCCTCCAGCGAGTTTTCTCCAAAATGTAAAAGTTTTGTATATATTTGCCTTTATTTTCATCGTCGCCGTCGTTGACTCTAGTCGGGAGGGGCCAGAAACAGATCCTGTAAACGCTGCCTATCCGATGTTGACTGGTGTTGCATTTCTCAACCATTCTAGACCTTTGACGAGCTGTTTATAGACCCCAGAGACCGACCGGACCTGTTGGTGATCGGAAGATCTGCGATACCCTTAGTTGACTGGCTTCTGACTGAGTTGCCCTTATCGCTACGTAGGATAATGGAGAAGGCTAATGAGCTGGGGTTCTACCCAGTCCCCTGTTGGGTAAGCTGGAGATAGTGCCTACGGTCCCACGTGTTCATTTTCAGTTTTTCCACCCTTGTGCCTGAATTCACAATGCACGACTAATGGTTTCTCTCTGCTTATTAACTGTCCTGCCGTGCACTGTCATGCAGCCACAGTAAAACATGGCATCTTCCACGGAATTTCGGAGACAGTTTTTGGCCATAAGACTGTGTCACCACCATCTCACTTATTGGTGCGCCTGCGGCCTGTACTCGGGTAATGTGGATTATTGAGCATTTAAATCAAGCTTTCTTTACCACCCTAACTGCCTAAGAATTTTCAGAACTACTGAAATTTCGAAATATGAATGAAAGTTTGATTAGGTATGTTCTTGCCAAGGCTGTAGTCCTGCTAATAATCAACTTTTGAGCAGAAACATTTCCTGACCGCTGCGTAATAATAAGTCGAAAAAGCGTAACGGCCATGCGGTGCTTTCAGGACAATTAAGGCTACATAATATCTTGCGTCTGTTGCCTACATTTTGCCGATTGTTTTATAGACAAAGAATAATGGCACACAGGTGCAAATTCCTATTTTGCCAGCCTTCACGCTTTTGTTTTCATTTCTAGGACGCATCGAACTGTACAGTGCGTGACCGATCTCATGAAATGTTGGCCAAAATTCTGGAATGCGTCTCCAGTATGGAAGGATTACTAAAGCGGAATTGTTATACTGATTATCATGCAGCATAACCCTATAACATTTCGGGATCGACAGGATGTCGGCTTTTGATTGCACTTCTTCTTGACCTCCTGTAGAAACAAAACTCGGTAAAAAATGACTGCTTAATTAGCATGCATTTTTCCTATCGATTTTCGGTGGTCTTATAAATTCAAATATATTTTATAGAAATCGTGCACAAAAATAAGCTTCCTTCTATTAATTTGGCAGAAAATAACGTTGTCTTTGCATTTTATGCCCGAAGAAAGTGTATATCTAGGTTTTAAACAAGTTTCTAATTATGAGATTTTTAATACCGCGCGATATCCATGCATGCAGGACCGCACTTGTACGTTTACTAATGCTCCTCACGAATGTACAGTACAGTCCGGATCCATTGCAAAATTTCATGAACTCTATGTGATATCTTCTTAAAGGCACGGACGAATATATAGTTTTCCTTATGCGGAAAGCATGCACCTTGTAGGCTGAAATAGCTAAACGCTGATGCACTGGCAGATCAGGCTGAAAATGATTCGGGAATCAAGAAACTTTTTTGAAACCTAGATATACACTTTCTTCGGGCATAAAATGCAAAGACAACGTTATTTTCTGCCAAATTAATAGAAGGAAGCTTATTTTTGTGCACGATTTCTATAAAATATATTTGAATTTATAAGACCACCGAAAATCGATAGGAAAAATGCATGCTAATTAAGCAGTCATTTTTTACCGAGTTTTGTTTCTACAGGAGGTCAAGAAGAAGTGCAATCAAAAGCCGACATCCTGTCGATCCCGAAATGTTATAGGGTTATGCTGCATGATAATCAGTATAACAATTCCGCTTTAGTAATCCTTCCATACTGGAGACGCATTCCAGAATTTTGGCCAACATTTCATGAGATCGGTCACGCAATGTATGTGGTGCCTGCTGCCCTGAACAGCCAGTCGTTATTCGACATCCTTGTATGCACCTGGAATTATTTCCTTCAGCTTAAATAAGCAGGTATTTTGGAAAACCCGCTATTACCATATCGTTTAATGCCTCGAATGGTCCTCCTTCGTTGGATTAAGGTAACAGTAAGTAACTAAGGTAATAGTTAGGTAATAGTTATTTTTATTCGCCCAAAGTTTTGGACTCCTGTCCGAACCCGCCCACAGGGACGACAACAGGTACGGGTAGCTCATTCAGTTCACATCATATATGCCTCATGTTCTGCAAAATTAATCAGATTTGTCAGGAAGCACGTATGCAATGTCCATTTTTATTCGGAGGATTTTCGAGAGGCTTGCATGATTACTCTCGTAGTCTAACATCCGCAGATTTCCGAAAGCCACTTGAAAAGGGCACAGTGTGATGCTGATTTATTTCAACACTTTATGAATGAGAAGAGAATGGCTTCTATGAAAAAGAACCGAAATTTTAGACTGCTTCCAAAGAAACTATCTGTCATGTATTCAGAAGGTCTCAGGCGAGTGCAAAAACCCGTTGCCGGTTCAAAATATCTAAGAATTTCCATATAGGAGTGAGATGCACTGATCTTCCCTGTATGCAGAATGCACATTTTGGCATTTCCGTCGTGTCTCGGGTCTGCAGGTCTAGAGCTCACGTAAGCGGTCGCACAACGACCAGAAATCGTTAACCGACGACGATTACCAACAGAGACAGGGGCCGCTGGCCCGATAATTTTCTGACTTACCAGAAATCAGCAGCCAGCGATGCTCAAACTTCTGCGAGACAGGCATTTATGACCCTGTGGAGAAAACTCTTCTTAAAGGGGGATCTGGCATCCTAGTCTGCCTTCTCGAAAACGCGCAAGAAAACGAAAAAATCGTTGAATGAAACGAGAAATCGTTAGTCAAGGGGTGCAATTTAATTAAAAGAGCTAGCAAGCACAAGGCGTAAGGGATGCTGATGACATTTGGGGTCTTTGAAGGCGTGTATATGAAGACTCCACAGCAAATGGTGGATAAATAAGGGTAAAATAATATCCGTGTGGTTTTAGTCTAGGAATATGAAAAAACCCACTAAGCATTTACAATAATTAATCGAAAAGCCATAATTGTAACTTAGAGAGTGGACAACTAGTATTGCAGTCCAGTCACTACTGATGCCTGAATGATCAACTTTACTGAGCCAAACTGACTTGTAAAACATTCTTGAAAAAGTATTTAATGCACTTGGATGCAACCTACTTCAAACAGCGCATATGCGTATTATGAAAAGTTTAAAATGCCTAATAGGGCGATCAGGGTTTAATAAGACCATGAGTGCTCAATTTTGGTCTTCGTTAGAAACTCCGAAATGCTTTATCGCAACTTATTCCTAATGGTCAAACCTTAAGGGTTTGGTACGAACACTCCCTCCTGTCTGAAAGTCTGAGAGGAAGGACATCTCATATTAAGGGCACATAATTATGCTTATGGGTCAGACTGGACCTTGCCAAACCTATTCTTTGGTGCGTTGAACAGGGGGCAGTAATTACCAGGCGAGAAGCGCCATCCAAGTAATCGATTTAGACAATAACTGGTAGTTCGTTCATCGGAATCACTGAGGACTACCATTGCGTGGTGAGAAAGCATTGCATTGCGCCTGTAGTGAGGTATAACGGAGGGGATTTTCAATGTGTCTAACTCACTCATTTTTCCGCATCCATTCTATTCTAATGGCCAGACAATGCCAGGCGACTGGGGGGATTGTGAGGGCACAGGTGTTGACACGGAGAATCCCCCGTATGTGCGTGTCACACGCCTCCTGGTCCCTGCAGCGCATGAATCGGACTTCAGAAGAAGGTTGACATAAAGGTCGCATGAGAAGAGCAATTGCAGACTGACCCTCAGCACGGGAGAGAACTGAGCTATCCTATCCGATGACACCCTTTCATGTCAAAATTGTTGGAACTTCTTGCTAGTTAGGTCTTTATGGTCAGTAAAGTATGGGCTAGGTGCGCATCGGCTTCTCCCTATTTTCTCTTTTTTTCCCCCCTCTCTCTCTCCCTCTTGCCATTCTCGCCGGAAAGTCCTAGTCAAGCTAACTGAAAACGAACCTGGGCACGAAGACGCATGGGAACGAATAATGTCAAATCGTAAATAACAGCTCAGGAGACACGACCAAGTCACGCTTTCCAGTCCAACGGAACTGAAATCCTAATAGCAGACGCCAGTCCTATAAGTCACAGACCGTTTGAATAAATTTTTACTGTCTGTATTCAGTCGGTAGACACAGCGACTTACCTCCAGCTTAGATATCGCTAAAACTCTACGTGGACAATAAAGGCAAGCAAAGGGAAGCGTACGTATGAACTGTAGGTCGGGGCGGTAATGAGAGGCAAGGCTGCCATGAAAGTATCATACGTATTTCAAGCGCCTGCAAGTAGTGCTGGGAAAGCGGTGGCCCGATCGTGGCATGTAAATCAACTGACATGCAGCCGCGTAAGGACCAGATCGTATATAGGTCGAAAGTCTGATTAGGCGTTCTCACATCAGCCTGAAACGTCGGGTGAATAAAACCCCCACATTCGTAACAGTGTCTCACTTACTACCTCTAACACATCTTGTCATGTGTACCGACTGGTAGCGTTTACACAGAACCTCCACTAAGTCTCGGTAAGTCAGAGCAGTGTAACTGCCGATCTTACATCATTTGGTAAAACCAAATTTTCTCTTTTTGGATACCGCGTTATTCTCTGGCTAGTCAGGAGATGCACTTTAGGAGTGATTCCTTCTTATGGCTCCTCTATGCTATCTGACTTCTTTTAAAATTTCCATTGGCGGTGTATTTGTGGATTGTTTGGACTACAGTGATCGACAAAGGACACGTCCACTGTCCTGCCTAGGCTGCAGTGCCTTGTCTAACTGGACAGGCCGTCTAGAAGGTTAGTACATGTCGCGCCAGAAGACGGCCGTCTACGGCATATCCATCGCTGTGTCTTACCTTATCACCGACGAGACGGCAGGTCCAATGATACCAGAACTCGTGGCTGCAGACCCCAGAAGGATGGTTCAGATGAATCTCCCAGTTCTTTGCTACCGAAGAACGTCCCCGATAAGCATTTGAATTTGAAGCAAGAAAAGACCAATAAATTCGGGGGATACCTGTTTGGACGGAGCAGCCACCGAAAGAAAGAATAGAGTGACACAGAAGTGCTTTTCCCAATGGGGACGCCCTGGTTTAGGCGCCTGCTTTCCACTCTCTCCCAGTCTCCGACAAGAATTAATGACCGACCCACGACACGAAGGCTGTCCATCTAGGGAGGAAATTTATTTGGGACCCTATAATGATCAGCCATGACGACGTGAAGAAGTTCTACGAGGACCCGAACTTCCCGCTTGCATATGTACCGGAGGCGAACAAGGTCCTTACTTTTGGAAAATTCAGTGCACAAGCAGGCGTGGAACACATTGCCTGAGCAGTCGATAGGTACGGCGTCGGCGGCCGCAAAAGAACTGGCTCGAAGTCCATCCGTCAGCCCTATCGGTTTCTTCTCGTGCCGCCACAAAATCAATCAATTCTAGTAGCCATCTTAGTTAAGTCTTAAAATTGTCTCGTCTTGATCATTCAGACTTCAATATAATTCACCCGCATGCCACCATTGCTCGCCTCAGGTAGTGATATTAGAGGAGAAGAAGAAGAAGAGG